CACTAGGACACACTCTCTGGAAAAGGTCCAAGGAGCGCCTGAAACAGCCAACAGCCAGCTAGGACTAGGACCAGGTGCTACAGGGAGGTGAGCAGCGGCACTGGCTGGGTGGTACCTGCCCTTTGAGGCCACAGCCCAGAGATCCTGGGGCCAGGAGGTGGCATTTCAGCCCCACCTCATCTTCCCTGAGCCTCAGTTTGTTCATCTGTAAAGTGGGAATTTTAATCCCTACCTCCCAGACAAAACAGCATATATTTGTGCAGTTTATGAGTTGTGGAAAGGGTGATTGTGGGCTAAAACCCAGCCAGTGCTCAACTGGCCAAACTGGGCACCCTGGCTTGGGGCTATGCCCTGCTTAGGAGAAAGGGACACCTTTGTTTTCTTTAACCAAGCTGGTTGCCCAAGGGTGATTCTGCCCAAAAGGCTGGTTCACCCAGAGGGATCACCTTTTTTCTAATTTGTCCAAAGGTGTAGCCCTATTTTTAGGGCTATGAGAGGTTAAATATAAAGCTTTCAATAATTGTGGTCCTTATTGTTGCTGTTGTCTTAACTAATGGGCCTGGCCCTGAGGCCTACTCGGGCAGTTGGCTGTAAGACACTCAAAGACCTGTATTCTGGAAATCTCTGTACTTCTTGCTTTTTTTTTTTTTTTTTAATATGAAATTGTGCCATGAGGATGAGGAAGGACGTGGTTGGAGAAATCAGGGGTGAAATGTGCCCCCAGAGGCCGATGGGGTGGCAGATCCTGAGAATCAGAGAAAGAGGGAGTGAGGTCAGGGGTAGTCGAGGGGCATGGGGGTATGTGATCCACCAGGTTTCAGCTTTGAAGACCATGTCCTCAAATGTCTGTCCTGCAGCCTCCTGGGACCTCTCAACGGAGACCTGACCTACCAGTTCCTGCAGAGTGGGTGCCTGCAGCTGAAGGTAAAGCACTTGCCCTCTAGAAATAGACCAGATGGCAGAGAAGGACAAAGACCCCTTAAGTCCTCCTCCCCCAGGGAGCCTTAGTCCCTACCAGTGGAGAGGGAGTTCAAAGGTTGCTCAAGAGGGATGCAGTGTGCTGGGAAGAGAGTGTCAGAATGAGCCAAATGGTGAGAAACTGCATGGAGGTGGGACAACTGAAGAGCTGGGAGGAAAGGAGGAACCTTCAGGCGGTAGACCCATCTGGGGCCAGCCTGGGATCCACTCCCACTTGAGGCCTCTGTTCAGAGGGCCAAGTGACAGTGACGCCAACTTGTGGCTGCTGGTCCATGGTCCTGTACCTAAGAGCGGGTTCATAGCCAGAGGGTTTGGGAGCCATGGTGACTTTGAGCTTAGGGTGAAGACCTGGTCAGAGACAATCAACTGGAAGAGAATGACAAGGCACCAGGCAATTACAATTTGAGTGATAGTGATATTACAAGGTGTCTTAGTCATCTAGTGCTGCTATAACAGAAATATCACACGTGGATGGCTCTAACAAAGAGAAGTTTATTCTCTCACAGTCTACTAGACTAGAAGTCCAAATTCAGGGCACCAGCTCCAGGGGAAGGCTTTCTCTCTTCGTTGGCTCTGGAGGAAGGTCCTTGTGATGCATCAGTCTTCCCTTGGTCTAGGAGCATCTCAGCACAGGAACCTCAAGTCCAAAGGACACGCTCTGCTCCCTGCTCCTGGCACTGCTTTCTAGGTGGTATGAGGTCCCCATCTCTCTGCAGGCTTCCCTATCCTTTTATCTCTTGCAACCAGGCCACACCCCAGGGAAACTCCCTTTACATTGGATCAGGGCTGTGACCTGGGTAAAGGTGTTACATCCCACCCTAATTCTCTTTAACATAATCTAATCTTGCCTCATTAACCACAGGCAGAGATTAGAATTTATAACATAGGAAATTATAACAATCACAAAATAGAGAACAACCACACAATACTGGGAATCATAGCCTAACCAAGTTGACACATATTTTTGGGGGACACAATTCAATCCATTACACAAGGGCAGGATGGGTGTTTTGGTAGCCCAGAGGAGGAGCACTTGTCTCAGGCATGGGGATCCAGGGGGCTTCCCAGAAGAAGTGACATCTAAACTGAGACCTCAAGGAAAAGCTGGAGTTAGAAGTGACAAGGGATGAGGGTGGGGACAAAGCATTCTGACTTGAGGGAACAGCATGTGCAAAGTACCAGAGGTAAGACAGTGGACACATTCTGGGAACTGAAAGTGGGTTTACCATTTCTTAACTGAACAGTATGTATGGGAATGCAATTGCAAGAGAGATGACTGGAGGTAGGAGAAGGTGTGTCTCAGATAATGACACACCTTTATACTTCGTCAAGGAGTTTGTATTAAGAGGGTTTTAAGCAGAAGGGTAACAAAAGCAGATTTTTATTTTAGTGAGATGTCCACCTGGAAATTGGAGGGGCTAAGGCTGGAGGCAGAGAGATCCCTTGGCAGGCTATTACAAGATCCAGTCTAGGGGTTAGGGTAGCTTGAACGTGGGTAGTCACAACAAAGATGAAGTGATATGAGCCGACTGGAGCAGTATTTAGGAAGTAGAATTGATAGGCTAATTGGATGAGGGGCAGGAGGCCAGGATGGCACCCATCACTGACTTGGGGAAATATGGCTGTGGAAACCCTTCACTGGAACAGGGAAGTAGGAAGAGTAGTGGGTCTGGGTGGGGATTGAGGAAAGTTCCATTAAGTGTGAAGTTCTAGTACAATATTGAAGTGGAAGTGGCTTGGGGAGTACAGAGGTTTTGAGCTCAGGAGAGAGAATTGGGTCAGCTATATTGGCCTGGAGGTCATCAGCCTACAAGTGGGAACTGAGGCTGTGGGAGCAATAGGATCCCAGGAGAGCAGGAACACAGAGGAG